GGGCCCCGCACCCTGCCCCCGGGAGGGCCGCCCTCTGGGCGCGGGGGTCGGGTCCGGCCTGGCCTGGGAGAGGGGGAGGCTCCCACGCCTTTCTTGGGGAGCATTCTTGCCGCTTTGAGGAATGGGCTGCTTTATCAGACCCCGAGCGCCTCCATGTAATGACGGGCTTGGGGGCCGCCCGGGTCGGTGTGGTCGCTGCGATCCTCGCTCCACGTCACCAGGGAGTTGGCGGCTCCCTCCCGGTGCCCACCCCCTGCGGTGCTGGGGGCAGAGACAGCCCTTCTCGCCGGGACTCCGGCGCTTTCCCAGCCCCGAACGTTCCACAATGGCCGCTTTTTACATTACTTGGTGCTTGCTTTTGGCGCCACGGCCTCCGTGAAGTCACTTTTGATGGATTCTAGAACTTAACTGTCGCAGAGGCAGTAAAAGACGGAGTCCTCAAGGACCCGGGTGGCGGAGATTCCATTTACCGGATTGATTCCTAAAAGATGTCCCCATCTAAAGTCACCCCCCACCTTTGATCGCTGTCCTCGGGCCTCACCTCTCTCCCGGGAGCAAGGCTGAGATCCAGGAAGTCAGCAAACACCAAAAAGACCTTTGAGCGGTCCAGATGGATGTGACAAAGTCCGTGTCCTGAAGCCAGTGTGCCAGGCCGGAGGTGATCTCTCCATTTGTGCGGAGTTCCGAGGGGCTCCGCTGTGTGATTCCGATGACAGCAGAGGAAACGCTGCGAGGGCGGACACTTGAGCACTTGCCTGCTGGGCAGTGAGCTGAGTGCCTTAGGTGGCTCATCCCTGCAGCCCTTAAAGCAGCGGTTCTCAACCTGTGGGTCGCGACCCCTTTGGGGGTCGAACGACCCTTTCACAGGGGTCGCCTAAGACCATCGGAAAACACATCTATAATTACATATTGTTTTTGTGATTAATCACTATGCTTTAATTATGTTCAATTTGTAACTGAAAATACATCCTGCATATGAGATATTTACATGACGATTCATAACAGTAGCAACATCACAGTTATGAAATAGCAACGAAAATAATTTTATGGTTGGGGGTCACCACAACATGAGGAACCGTATTAGAGGGTCCCGGCATCAGGAAGGTTGAGAACCACCTAAGGCTTTAAGGCTTAAAATAACCTTCTGACGCAGGTGCTGTTGCTTGCATTCTGTGGAGGAGGAACTGAGTCTAGGGAGGTGAGACACTCAGTGGTAGAGCCAGGATTAAAACAGGCAATCGGTAACTCGCAATTAAGGATTTTGAAATATCTGTGTATTTTGTCCTAAGTCATTTCAGTGTAAATGTTTGATGCCAGACCAGTGACTTAGGTCATTTTTCGTTGCACTCAGAAAATTATTTTTCCTGCTTTTTGAGATGTAATTGACATATTGTGTTAGTTTTTTGTGTACAACATTGGGTATGTGTGTATTTTGCAAAGTAATTATCACAGTAAGTTTAGTTAACATCACCCACCACAGGTAGTTACAGTTTTCTTTCTTGTGATGAGAACTTTTAAGATCTGCTGTCTTAGCAACGTCCAGATACACAACACAGCTTTGTTAACTATAGACACCGTGTTGTGCATTACACTCTGGGGCTTACTTACCTTATGACTGGAAATTTATACCTTTAGAACACCTCCTGTTTTGCACACCCCTCCCACACACACACAGGAAATGTTACTTTTAATCTTTATTTTTACTCCAAAATTTTTGGATGAGTCTCTTCATTTTCTTTCACACGTTTCTCAGAATCCCTGCCTCTGTCAAGTCATGAAGTTGAAGCATGATGTCTCCTAAACGTGTATGTAAACTAAGATGTTGGACAATCCCAGATAGAAAATTCTTTTTTAATCCACCCGAGGATATTTTTCCATTGATTTTTAGGAAGGGAGGGGGAGAGACAGAAACATCATGTGAAAAAGATAGGAGAGAGACATCGATTGGTTGCCTCTCACATGCGCCCTGACCAGGGCCCAGGCTGGGGAGGAGCCTGCAACCAAGGTATATGCTCTTGATCAGAATCAAACCCGCTACCCTTCAGTCCGAAGGCCGACACTATCCACTGAGCCAGACTGGCCAGGGCTAGGAAATTCTTAAGGGAACCTTGAGTAATAAAGAAAAAATGAGTTCTTTTGTTTGTTTTTAATATTCACTATTTTCATTTGGGAGATTTAGGAAAATATAAAATACTTGAGCCAAAATAATTAGGGAGATAAATAGGTGAGTTCCATTCGTGTGTGTTTGTCAAGAATTCCTACAGTTAAGCCTGTAGTTATAGGGCATTATTAAACTATTTTCCTTGTCAGACTTAGGATCATTTTAGTTCTTATACTTGAGATTTCCTAACCTTTTAAAAATTAAAATTGTGAGGATTATTTTTTCAGAATTAAATGCTAAATTTGACTAGCTGCTTGGTTTTTCCATCCTAAATTATAAAAGTTGTTTAGAGACTTTTGAAAGAGTAAGAATTTGATATGAGTTTCTCAAATAACTGGAATAGGAGACATGCACATCCAGGTTGTGTTTCTCACTTTGAAAATACTGGTATTGGGGCTCACTTTAGGAATTTGGCACCTGTTGTGAACATGCCTGCAGTTACAGACCAGAAGGCGTTTCTCTTAGGTAAGGGATGAGGCAGGCTAGGAAGGAAGTGGGGGATTGTTTCCTGACCGGCTAATTGGAGAGCAGCTGCTTAAAGGACCTATCTTAAAGGGGGGGCAGAGGACTTGATCTTGGTCTTGCTCTGTTTGAATTGGCTTGTCCTTGTCTGTGTCTGCCATGGTCATTACAGAGGGGTGCCCCCATGAAATGTGGGTTTCTCTTATTCCTGAACAATCGTTGCAGCTGGACCCACAGTTTGCTCAAGTTATCACTTTATTCTTGTCCTAAACACTGACCGGCATAGCCTCCGGAGAACAAGCCTGGGTTTGTCGCTACATTTTCCTGTAGGCTGATAGTTATTTGTAGTTCTGTGTCTGTTTTACTTAAATTATTAGTGGAATCCTTCTGAGATCCACATGCCCCAGCCATCCTCCCCTGGCCTCTCCCTGCCCTCCTCCACCTACTGCTTTGATTGTGGGTTGTAGACTTTTCATCCTACCAAACATGCCAGGAATGTACTGAGTCCCTGCGTTTCTCATAATCTCAGTTTATTTTTGAAGTAAATGGGGAACACCTCATCTTTTATTGTTGTCATTGCGTACTTCTAGAAGCTTTTCTCTCACATTCCCAGCCAGTCTCTTGAGTATTCATTGCTCTTAAACATTTGTTGACCACCCACTATGTGCAAGGCACCCAGGACACAACTCAGAGCAGCAGCTTATAGCTATCAAAGTTTCTGCTCAAGAAAGCTGCAATTTAGTTGAAATAATATACTAGTATAGATGTGTGTATATACATATACATATTTAAAGATAAAAATATAGGGTATTAAGCCAAATAAGCAGTGAATCCTGTGAATGTGAAGTTGTAGGAAGGATTTGGGGAAGGATCCCTGACTTCCCAACAAGCAGTGTATAAAACCTCTATGAAGAAAGGTATAGGACTTTGCTGATGGACATAGAAGATGACCTGAATGTACGTTCAAACCCTACTTCTGGATGGGACCAAGCAGGCTGGTGAGGAAGCAAGAAGATACGTCTCCCCAGATTAACTTATTCATAATATCATCAAAGTTAAAAGACAGTGAACTGAGGGAAATAATCTGCAAGATATCAAAGTGACAGAGGGTTAAAACCCGTAAGGTACTCCTACAATTAAAAAAAAAAAAACTGCTAGAAAAATGGACAAAGTTGGCAGTTCACAGAAGGGAAAGGCAGGGTTGACAACATCTAATGTAGGCAAGGTGTGAAATAAAGGGGACTCTCGTCCAGTGTTAGTGAATGTGTAAGGTGGCACAGCCTTTCTAGGGGGAGTTCGACAGTGTGCCACACTTCAAGTGGCATATATTTTATCCCAGCAATTATAGGGAATCTGAACAACAAAAATTGTAATGTGTGTGAATAAACTTTATGTAATTATACAGATGTTTGTTGTACCTAATAAGTACAAAGCTGCTACTTCCTAATCAGGATCCCAGGCTAGAAAGAATAAAGGAGAACTGTGTGAGTGTCCTCAGATTCCACAGACGCAGCTCCTGCTTGGATTCTGCACAACGGGACCAGCTCCAGGCTACATGCTGCCCGTCCCTGTCCTCTGCCCCATGCTCTGCTCAGGAGGCTCTCCCACTCTCTGGGTGGCAGTAAATTAGGGCAGAACCCAGAGCATATTGCCTATTTACACTCACAGAGACAGTATGACTTAGAAACTCTTTGGAAGTATTATCCCAAAATACCACAGAATGAGAATTTACCCCATGACATGAAAGTAAAATGAATTCCATTTTCTTTTGTCTATTTGTTCATTGATTTAGCAAATATTTCCTTAGCCTGCTGTGTGTCAGGCTTAGTGCCCAACACAGATAATACCAAATGGAATAAGGCACATCCTGGGCCTTTGAAGATGTCCGTGTCTAGTGGGGGCTTAGGGGAGAGGGGAGACAGCTGACCAGGTCATCACCCTGTATTCGATAAGTACTGTAATAGGAGCTGGGGTAGCAGCTGGCGTGAAGCAGTTCCCATTATGTAATAAACAGCTCTGAGGAGTGGGTCTTCAAAGATGACTTCCAGAGGAAGTGAGAGTCAGTTGGGTTGCAAAGGGGAGTGGGAAAAAGCAACATGACAGTCCCTGGTTTTTAGTGTAGGAATGTTGAAACTAGAGGACAAAATTTCAAGTCTGAATGGCTTTCAAATTTCCATTTGAATAAACATTTTGCAGCAAAATTTGCCCATATGTATCCTGTAATTTTTTAATTTAAAATACTGGAGTGAACCATATAGGAAGTTCACTAACATTTATCTTTCAAGGCTCCAACAAACATCAAATGTGAATCACGAAGCCCCTGTTCTCCCCCTTCCCATCTTGTCTTCTCTCATATTCTGCGTCAGCGGCAGCGTTGTTGGTTCTCCTCTCCTTTGGAACATTGAACTTTAGTAGGAAAATAAAGTTTCTCATTTCCAGGAGAAAAAGCCAAAAAGAGCAGTCTTACTGTCTGTAGCTCCACTCTTAGCCTTGAGGTTGGTTACTATTGATGGGTCTGGATTAATTTCTATTGAGGTGTTTTTGTGAATAGGCTAGAACTGCAGTTATTCAAACATAGAAAGTAACATCCTTAGATCCAGGCATTTAATTTCAACAAGCTGCAAAATTGTTCGGTAAAATACTATTTTTTAACATGAGATTTTGCCCTTGGATAGGTGGCTCGGTTGGGGTTGTGGGTGTGATTCCCTGTCAGGACACGTACCGAGGCTGCAGGTTCAATCCCGGTTGGGACACATGCAGGAGGCAACCAATTGATGTTTCTCTCTCTTTCTCCCTCTGTCTCTAAAATCAATAAACCTATCCTTGGGCAAGGATTTTAAAAACGTGGATTTTACGTTCTGTAGGTGTATTGCTAATTTGCGTGCAGTAACATATCTGCACATGCTTAAGTAAGTCTAATGGTGAGATTTGCAGTGTTGATGAGGGTGGATAGGTTCTGTTTCCTTAATTCACTCAGTCTTCAACATCTGAGTCCCTTAGTGCACGTCCTTCATCACAAATAACTGGCCAAATGTAGATATTGGAGAAGCCCAGTGCATGCTGTGTGACCCAGACTTTCCCAGCTGAATCCAGGTGTACCACAGCAGTACCCTGGAGGTGGGTTGGTGGTAGGAGGTGGAAACAGTTTCATGGGGTTAAAAAAAAAAGTGCTGCTTTTGAAGACTGGCTGTGTGAGTGTGAGGTTGGTTGTATGATGAAGCTAAGAGATGGAATTTTAAAAAATTGTAATGTGTCCCAGTAAGTGCTGCCCTCACAAAAGAAGTGGCCTTGGAGGCCATACCAGGGGGCTGATGCTCAGACTCTTACGTGAAGCAGTGTTCCTCGTCGCCTCAACCAGAGAGGCTAGCTCCATCCTTGAAAGATTTGTCACCACAAGGTCCTGTTTCCTAATGGAAAGAGGTGCTAAAGGTGACAGAAAAGTTACAACACTAAATAACAGCAGACTTTTTGAAATAAATCTGTTCCTACCTAAAGTGACATATTAGAGAAATAAATGTTCATTTGGACAATGTGCACCCTGGTATGTTGGCTCTGGCCTAATTAAGACACTTTCCTGAGTCGCCCCATCATACTAAGACAACAGTTGCTAGAACCTCCCCAGAGGAGCATGTTCAAGAATGTGAAGGGAAAGAAAAAGGAAATCTCATTTATTTAGAGTCATCCCGGACGTTAGCCTTTGGCCCCTGGTGTCCCATTTTCCAGATCTGCCTTCTGCACAGTGTTACCTACATGCATTAGACGCTTCGGGCTTTTCTAACACTTCCCTGTCATTTCTTTAGGTATTTCCGGAAAAAGCCAGCTTCTCTTTGCACTGGTCTTCACAACTCGATACCTGGATCTTTTTACTTCATTCATTTCACTATATAACACATCTATGAAGGTAGGTATGGGATCCAGTGGGTTGTATTTCATCCATAATTCACAGACCTATGAAAACATCATTGAGTATATTATTTTTTCCATTTCAGAGCAGTATCTGTTTAATTAAATATTTTGAACTTAGAAATTTTTAAATCTTAAGTTCCTTGAGTATGACAAATTTCTAATGCTCTTGATAATCCTATAAGAAAGAGGGGTAAGCCCTGGCCAGTTGGCTCAGTTGGTTGGGCATCATCTCCAAGATGTTGCCAGTTCGATTCGTGGTCAAAGGCACATGCCTGGGTTGCAGGCTCCATCACTGACTGGTAGGGGGTGTGCAGGAGGCAGTTGATTGATGATGTGAGGCTCTCACATCAATGTTTCTCTCTCTCCCCCTCTTCTTTCCTCTCTCTCTAAAAATCAATAAATTACTCTTTAGGAAAAGAGAGAGAGAGAGAGAGAGGGAGAGGGTAACTTTTATGTTTTTAAGCAGAGGGAAATTAGACTCCTGGGAAACCCAGCAAGTCAGTTCAGGACAAGGAATGAAAGCACAGGCTCCTCGCTGCAGTGGCTTATTTTGCTGCTGAGGGACTAGGTTAACCCGCTGCCACTTTCATTTCCCCCACTAAGTCCATGTGTCATAAGCTTTTGCTGTACGTGCCCTCTTTATTATTTTTGCCAAGCTTAAATGATGTCTGTGCCATAATTTACTAAATATGTATTTAAACCTTTTGATTTATCCTCAACATTAGTATCAGTGCTACCTTTAGTGTCTGTATATTTTCCCCAATTCACATTAAAACAAATGTATAACTATTAAAACACAAAATGTTTGCATATACCTAACATTCTGTGTAGCACTGGTGGCTCACACTTCACACTAGGAGAAACAGTATTGAACTCAAACTAACAGAGTGCCCGCAGGGTTGGGCATTTCCCTAGCACTGAGGACAGGCAGGAAGCAAGTCATGATCTGGTGGGGAGAGTAGACCAGCGCTCGCCAACCTTTTGGACCTCACGGATCACCAGTGGTCTGCAGACCACCGGTTGGCGACCATTGCTCCAAATGTTTCTTTTTTTTTTTAGCCTATGTTTCTGCTCTGGGCACTACCGGGAGCACTTACTGCCCACACCAGTGAATCAAGACCAGCAGATTCTCTCTGAGAACTGTAGCAAAGGTTTCTTTAAACCAGCGGTCACCAACCTTTTGGACCTCACATACTACCAGTGGTCCGTGGACCACTGTTGGGCAACCGCTGGAGTAGACAGTCATCTCAGTTCTAAATGAATGGCTGTGATTTGTGATGGGTACTATAGAGGAAAAGTAGGGGGCTCTCAGGATGTGAAAAGGCATTCACTCATTTATTCAAGTGCTTAGTGAGTGTTTGTGTGCCAGGCACTGTTGTAGGCATTTGGTTATTGGCACAGCCAAGAAAGTAATGTTTAAGCTGAAGCTTATTGGTGTAGTATTTATGTTTTGGGTTTTTTGTTGTTATTTTCGTTAATCCTCACCTGAGGATATTTTTCCATTGATTTTTAGAGAGAGTGGAAGGGAAGGGGAGAGACAGAGAGAAACATGGATGTGAGAGAGACACATGGATTGGTTGCCTCCACACAAACCCGACCAGGGCTGGGGATCAAGCCTGCAACTGAGGTACAGGCCCTTGGCCAGAATTGAATCCAGGACCCTTCAGTCCTCAGGCCGAGGCTCTATCAACTGAGCCAAACTGGCTAGGGCTTGGTGTGGTATTTGAAACAACTCCCCAACACTTTGTGTCCAAAAGCATTTTAATAAGCACAGGTCAAAGCAGACAGAGCAATATTTGAGTCTGTCATCTTTACTAAAAAGCAAATTTGAGCTGCCTGTAATCATTCCATTCTTCATTACTAAGTGATGGGAGCTTAGTCATTAGGAAATTGGCTTACTTACACATGCCTGTGGCCCTGCTTGTCCGTGCAAGTTAAACTGCAGGCATTAGAAGTGTGTGAGCAAGAATCCTCTCCCCTCCCCCTCAGGGTACCTAGCCTTCAGAAGAATCCTGCTTGGTTCTAGTTTCCAAGCACATCCTAAGAATCAGATGAGTACAGTCGAGTTTCATGTGCTCATAGCTTTTTACTTTAAACGCCAAAGCACTGATGAGTAGAGAAAAGGGGCTGCTTTCCCCAGCGGCTGCTCTCCCTTATGGATATAATCCGGTCAGGCCACAGCCTGGATGCTGGCCGGGAACCCTGGCAACGTGTTCCTCGGCCAGATGTTCTGCTGGTGGGGACTCTGTGCACACTGATTTTGTTTATACATGTAGATTATGTTATTTTATTCATATACATGTGTACATATATTTGTGTGTGGAGAGAACTCCAACAGTATAAGATTAATCTTGATTTTTCTTTGGTAGTTCTTTGGTGTTTGGATGGGTATGATCAACAATTTTAATACCTTACTATTTGCAAAGACAACTCGTGACGAGGTGCCAGGGACAGTTTAGTGTTTTCGTTTTGTTTTGAAGCAAAACAAAAGGTCTTGATGATTGCTTTCATTGTCCTGTTAAATCATTTGCCTAAATTAATCATTTGCCCCTAATTAAGTTGTGCAAGGTGCTCTTCCTAAGGAGTAGCTGGTAGTCCAGTTGTCTTTACTCACAGGCTAAACCTGCGTTTTGGTTTCTGAGCCTAAAATTCTGGTGTCTGAAAATTGGTGTCATTTCAGAATGTCAGACTTTTCTTTTGGGTTGGATGAATATATGGTGTTTTATGGGTTGGATGAATGTGCAGAAACATCTATAATAATAAAGGCATAACATGCTAATTAGACCAGACGTCCTTCTGGATGCCCTTCCGGATGACCTTCCTGACGAAGCCAGGGCTGTGAGGGAAGTCCGGTTCCCGGGTGTCTGCTGGTGGCCAGAGGGAAGCCCGGGTCCTGGGTGCCTGCCAGCGGCCGGAGGGAAGCCCAGGTCCCGGGTACCAGAGGGAAGCCAGTGCTGGCAGCTGGGGGAAGGAAGGCTTAGTCTTGCATGAATTTCGTGCATCAGGCCCCTAGTATTACATAATTATAAACCTTGAACAGCTATACTGTTATGCAGGTGAAATCACTTTCTATCGTAGGCAGCGGTGTTTTACTGCCTACACTTACTTTCGGTTTTGGTTTTATTAGGTTACCAAAGTTTCATAGCAACAATCTGAAGTTCAGTGTTAAAGTAACATAATTTAAGTAAAAACCATCATTTTATAAAGTTTAAGATGAGTTACATTAATTTATCTTTAAAAAGCAGTACTAAGAAATATAATGATGCTGAAAGAAAGTACATTGGTTTTGTTTTTTTTTTAAATATATTTTATTGATTTTTTACAGAGAGGAAGGGAGAGAGAGAGTCAGAAACATCGATCAGCTGCCTCCTGCACATCCCTCACTGGGGATGTGCCCGCAACCCAGGTACATGCCCTTGACCAGAATCGAACCCGGGACCCTTCAGTCCTCAGGCCGACGCTCCATCCACTGAGCCAAACCGGCTCCGGCAAAAGTACATTGATTTTGAACTGCATTGAACTTTGCTTTTTTTTTCTTAAGCTACATTCTAATAGTTCAAAATGGTATTAAAAATACATTCTCTGGCCCTAACTGGTTTGGCTCAATGGATAGAGCGTCAGCCTGTGGACTGAAGGGTCCCAGGCTCAATTCCGGTCAAGGGCATATACTTTGGTTGTGGGCACATACCCAGTGGGGAGTGTGCAGGAGGCAGCTGATGGATGTTTCTCTCTCATCAATGTTTCTAACTCTCTATCCCTCTCCCTCTCTCTGTAAAAAAATCAATAAAATATTTTAAAAAAATACATTCTCTGGCATTTCACACTTATATTTAAGATACGATCCGGCAATCCCATTCCTAGGTATTTACCCAAGGGAAATGAAATATCACACAAAAGCTTGTACACAAATGTTTATAGCAGCTTTTATCCCCCAAGCTGGAAGCAGTCCACCTGTCCTTAACTGGTGAGTGGATGAACAGACTGGTAACTCACACAGTAGGCTGCCGCTGCTACTGAACAGCAGAAAGGAGTCACTTGTTTTATTAATATACCAACAACATGGATGGATCTCAGATGCATAATGCTAATTGAAAGAAGCTGGTCTTAAAGTCAGCATATTTTATGATTTCATTTTTGCAGCATTCTAGAAAACTCAAAACTACAGAGACCAAGGACAGATCAGAGATTGCCAGAGGTCAGGCCTGGGGGAATTTTGTGGGGTGACAGTACTGATCTGTTAATTTGATTATGGTGGTGGTTATATGACTCATAGAACTATATATACCCCCAAAAATGATTTTTACTATACTTAAATTTTTAAAAATATGTTTTTATTGATTTTATAGAGAAAAAAAGGGAGAAGGAGAGAAATATCAATGAGGGAGAATCACCGAGCCAGCAAACCAGGCATGTGCCCTGATGGGAATTGAACCTGCAGCCTCTTGGTGCATGGGACTACACTCACCCAACGGAGCCACACTGGCTGGGCTATATTTAAATTTTTAAATTAAAACAATCCTAGCCCTGGCTGGTTTGGCTCAGTGGATAGAGCGTCAGCCTGCGGACCAAAGGGTCCCAGGCTCGATTCTGGTCAAGGGCATGTACCTTGATTGCAGGCACATCCCCAGTAGGGAGTGTGCAGGAGGCAGCTGATCGATGTTTCTTGCTCATCGATGTTTCTAACTCTCTATCCCTCTCCCTTCCTCTCTGTAAAAAATCAATAAAATATATATTTAAAAAACAAACAAACAACAAAAAATAATCCTATATAATAAAAGCCTAATATGCAAATCAATCGGACAGCTGAACAAATGGTGGACTGACTGGTCGCTATGATGTACACTGACCACCAGGGGGCAGATGCACAGAGGAAGGCGACCAGCAGCAGCGAGTAGGGGGTGGGGATGGCAGGGGGTGGGGTTGGTGAGCAGGCAGTGCCAGGCCTCCAGCCAAGGCAAGTGCAGGGCGGGGGTGTGTGTGTGTGTGCCTCCATTGTATCGCTCACCTATCGCCCCACAGATCAGCCCTGATCGCCAGCCAGGCCCAGGGACCCTACCCTATATATTGGGAACAGTCTCTTAAATTTAAAAATTAAAACCTGGCAAGGCTACTCTAACACTGAAAAAACAGGATGATGCAGCAATGACATGCATGGACTCGGACTTGAACATTTTGTGGTCAGCCCTGATTCTGACACATAACTGTGACAAAGCCAATTATTTAAACTTCTCTCTGATTCAGTTTTTCCACCC